ACGGTTATTTTAATTATAGGTTGACTGGAATTTTAGTAAATAGAAATAGGCTTACGTTTTTAAACGTAGATGGAGTTTAGTGAAAAGAATTCTAAGACAAGGAAATAGAGACGAGTTATCCTTTTCTCTAGTTTGGATGTTTCATAAATAAAAACCCGAGATTGGAAACAGAGTATATTTGGCTGATATAGAGGGTTGTTTGTAAAATACTAATGCAAGAGTATATTACTAATATCATAACGCTTTATTCAAAAAGAAACCAATCTTAAAAGTTTGCTTATCGATGTTTTTATTGGAATTACACGTATTTAACAAGTATTATTGAGATCGGTCACCGGTAAGTGCGCGAAACCGGATTCATAGCTTGTCACCCTGATGTTTTCTTCAAACTTAAATGAAATTAAAATTTTTAGTAGCAGTAGCGTTCCTTGTGAAAGAGTTCGTCCAGGGAAATACTGCCACCTTACCTATTTCGGCTGCCAAGCAGTAATGTCAGCATTACTGTGTTCCCGTTTTGAAGGGTACGGGTGCTGGTGAAACAGGCACATGGGACTTGTCAACTCATGTCTCAGGTACGGCCACAGTGGCAGCACCCCTCAGATCTTTGCAATTTAAAGTTCTGAGTTTTACTGCAACTGTTATGGATAGGCGTCCAGCTTTTTTATTATTCAAAATTATACCTGAACTAATGGATAAAGATAAAAATTCTCACATGTTGTTTTTTAATTTCGATTATCGCCACCACAACAATAATGTACAAAATACAACTAGGAAATTCTCTTGTATTTTGAGTACCAGAGAAACGCAATTCACTCCGGCACACTACCCAGAACACCCAGAACTAGTTTAGATTTTTGTTAAAGTAGGCGTGTTTAGTTTTTCTCCGACTTTACTAACGACAATTTTCTCGCCTCCCCCTGCAAATAGCCCTACATGTGACACGTACTATATTTTTACAAAACTGATGATATTTTAAATTATTAATATAGTAAAATAAATGCGTATCAAAAATATAGAAATACTATAGAATAGAGTTGATCTACTCATATTACTCATTCGTAAGGCAGATTTCCCTGAGAAGAATGAGTAAGAAACTTGCGAGATAAGTCTAAAGAGATTAACATTCTTACACTAGGGTCACAGTACGTTTACGAAAATGTTATTTATGTAAGAAAAATATTAATTTTTTTATTAAAAATTGTGGCAGACATAACATTAACACGAGGAACAAAAACAAATTAGCTGTTCTTGTCAGTTGTCGTCGTAAAGTCTCAAATTCGTTTAAGAGGCAATGCATAAGCTTCTATAATAAGATTCCGATTGATATTTAAAATTTGCAATTTACGACGTTTAAAACTACAGAGAAACAAAAACTTTATACTAAAGGTTATTATACAACTTCTGCGTACTTGAATGACAAAAATCCGGGGTAGTGTTTAGCTCTTGCAGGTAGTCTCAATCTTCGATATTTGAAATATATATTGTAACTGTTAAATGTATTCAAATGTATATTTAAAATGACAGCCCCTAGAGTTTCTTGCTCATTCTTCTCAAGGGAATCTGCATTACGAATGAGCGGTAGAGTTTAATTAATATGACGATTTCAAGTGTAATTTGCTTAACTATGAAATAAGGGTGATTTGAATGTGAATTTGGGTTGGTATATGTAAATTAACATTTGTACACATTTATCTTTTACAATATTTATTTCTTTTTATCTACATTCCATGAAAGTTATTTCAATTATCATTTAAATAGAAATAACATTTTATTTTTTTATTGAATTGATATTCAATTATTTTTTATGTGAATTTACTCCACTAGTTTGTAATAAATTATTACAAAAGTAAAATTGCTAAATAAAAAGTAAAATTGAGCAATTTTACATAAAAAATAATTGAATATCAATTTAATAAAAATGTAAAATGCAATGAATAGCGACATCTCTAGCCGGGGCTGGTAGCTCTAAAGGTATCTAACTGGTTGACGAAATACTTAGATTTCTCATAGATGGCGTTACGGTTAAAAAATCGTTGAAAAACCAAATACAAAGACATGGCTTCGTCCGAACTTTGTATTAATCATTATAGAAATAACATGCAAGAACTAAACAGATCATTACCATGAATTTATATCGTCCAAGTATACAGAAGCTGCATAATAATCTTCAGTATAAAGTTTCTCGTAAATGGCAAATTTTGAATATCATTCGGAATCTTATTACACTGGGTGACGGAGAGTCTGTCTGAAGACATGGACATTGGCAGGGAGCGCAGGGCGTTGGCAGTAAGGTGCAACATGCTGGCCCGCAGGTTTCCACGTTGTACTAGAAACGTAAAGCTCACGCTTTTTATGGCATTTTGCCAATTTTTACACGTGCAGCTTGTGGGTCCAGTAAAATGGCGCTCTCAGAATGCTGTTCAGGTTGCCGTGTTACTGTAGCACTTCAGGAATATTTACCGAGGCGCGAGTGGACGGCTTTAGCGCCATACGGAAGTGGGTAGCGTCCCTAATGCGCAGAGTGTGGGGCAGCGCCAACGGCCTTGTTCGTACAGTGGCCGATAGGAACTATGGGCCCATATTATATCAATGGGTACGGGTAGATGTCAATATTTAGAGGATTTATATTAACATAGTTTGTAAGAATTATAACAGGGAACGTAGACTTGGGCTTGCGTAGAGGTAATTTTAAACATAAAACTGGGATATTTCCATGAATAAATATTTATTTCATCTTTACTGATTTTTTTAAATACAATTCTAAACACAAACCTATATTCATTCAGCCAGTATTTCTACTCATAGAGTAGAGCCTACACTACAGTATTTTGTTACTAGCACTATATGGATCATCATCATCCATCATCATATCAGCCGGAAGACGTCCACGCATGAACATAGGCCTCCCCCAAAGATTTTCAGACCTGCCGATCGGACGCGACGTGTATGCATCGGTTACCCGTAGCAATTACCAGGTCATCCGTCCATCTAGGAGGGGGCCGTCCCACTGAACGGTTCGTGATCTCCATTCAAGAACCTTTCTGCCCCAAGGGCCGTCAATTCCACAAGCTATGTGCCCCGCCCGCCAAAGGTTTGAATTGATATAGAAGCGTATACATTGCCCCTTAAATGATTTTATGCCTTTGTAAAGATGACTGGGCAGTACAGCCAGTTGATGATTATTGAATATAGGTGCTGACTTCGCGTACATTTTGTTGCAATAACAAAATTATATCTAATTGTTTATATAGCAATATTTTTAAACCTAGTAACTAACTAAAGTTTTATCAGTTAGCTCAATATGGTATTAAATAGTCATCAATATTTTAAACGGTCTTACGATTGGCACTGTGGGCACTGGTCGAAAAGGTCCCAAGTACGATTTCCCGTATAACTAATTTGGAATATTTTTGTTTAAATATCTAGTGACGGGACGAACAATTCGTGCGCCTGATGGTAAGCTACACGCCTGTCCATAACAGTTGTACTGCCACTCAGAGCTCAAAATCGCAAAGATCCGAGGGGCATTGCCACTGCGCCCGTCACCCTGAGACATAAGTTGACAAGTCCCATGTGCCTGTAATTTCACCAGCACCCTTACCCTTCTAAACCGTAACGCAGTAATGCTGACATTACTGCTTGGCGGCAGAAATAGGTAAGGTGGCAGTGCTTCCCTGGACGAACTCTCTCACAAGAAGCTCTACTGCCGCTAAATGCTCAGGCAGAGGTGGCACAGCGAATTCCTTCGGTTCTTAGGATTCGGTACTGCCACGCAAGAGGTCCCGGTTTTGATCCCCGTGCCGGGAGAAATATTTGTATGGCCTACATTTATTTATCTCGTGAGTTTGGGTGTAATTTGTGTTTGTGTATGCGTGTGTCCATGACACCCGCGACACAGGGTTTCCTCAGTGCGTGGCAATGATATTATGATTATAAGATGGGAACTTTACACGAGGTTCTCTGAGTAAATGTGGAGTGTTTACAATTTATTCATGTTATTATATCACACTGCCATTACAATAGTGTTATAACTCAAAATATGTGAAATTCAGGATTATACTATTGCTGAACGTAAAATTTTATTCTCTACACGTCAATAAAACCGTCGTTAAAATATTGTAAGAAACAATTAAAATTATAATATCTACTTAAATCAAAATGAGACAAACTTTTCGTGAGCTAGTTCTGGACAAAAAAGTCCTTAATCAAAAATATTAAATCATTTTGTCCTTTTTATTTGTAAATGCAAGTAGGAAATTATTAAAATGTTTGTAATAAACTTTAACTTGTGACGGTGTGACCTCCTTACGCCGTCATATCACCTCATTGTATCGCCTCTCTCCGCTTGTATCCTATCTTTTTTTTTATTTTACATGTATTTAAATTTTAAATTTGTATTGTTCCATCTTCCTTCACCTTCTCATCTTGTTTTCGTACCACTGTCACTCCCAGCTCGACCGCCACAACGGTCGGAGCTGTTCCAAATTCCATTTACTAAAATCTTATTTTTGATTCTTTACCAAGTTATAATACAAAACATATAATACAACAGTCGGAGCAAAATTATCAAAAATTTGCTGCAATAGTTTTACGACCAAAAATGAAGCCATGAACCCGAATGTAATGGTGCCGCCATTGAAACCATGGCTATTACGCGAATATAAAGATTTGTACAGACGCTTTCTGGCGCTTTTCAAACTTATATCATAACAAACATTTTAATAATCTTTCACGAGAAGTAAGTAAATTCATCGATTCTAAAAAATACACTATTTCAGTAATACACTATTGTATTAACAGAGCAGATTTCTAATGAGAAGGAAAGCCTTTCCAAGGTAGTGAGGTGAAAAGGTGTTTTCTTACCTGCAGCGTGCACAACTAATCCGACAGTAGCGGTGACATTCTTTTCAATTGGATTACTCTGATCGTTGTACCTCGATGACAATTGATCAACTAACAACATAAATACGAAACCTGAAAACAAATAACACGTCTGTGATACATTTTGTGAAATCAAAACTTCTATAATCTGACAAATTTAGTACAGGTCCTTGCGAAAGAGTTTGTCCAGGAAAGTACTGCCACCTTACCTGTGTAATTTGAATATTACTGCGTTCCGGTTATGAAGGGTAAGGGTACTGGTGAAATTACAGGCACATGAGACTTGTCTACTTATGTGTCAGGGTGACGGGCGCAGTGGCAGATAAAGACAGAAAGAGCCCCTCAGATCTTTGTATTTTAAAGGTTTGAGTGGCACTGAAACTGTTATGGACAGCCATGTCGCTTACCATCAGGCGCACGACTTGTTCGTCCCGACATTTGGTAACTTTAAGTAGCAGTAGAGCTTTTTCACAAGAAGTTAGAATAGAAATCACTTATTACTACGCCACAACAAAAATATACACAGTAATAAAATGACGATAAAAAAAAGATGAAGCTATATTAAAACAAAAAATTAAAATTAAAATAACTGGAAAAAAAGGAATGAAAATAAAATCATACACGACAACAAAGCAAACATGAAATATTTAACACAAGTAGATTAAGTGTCATGTGCGCGGCTGTGGCGTAAGTAACAGGATCCCACTCAGCTATTGTCACCACCGAGAAAAGGCTGTGACGCTGATTTTCAGTGGGCCCTAAAACCGAATGAGTACCGGACGAGTGTGTCCGGTTACGACATACTTAACGAATAAATAAGTTTAATTACGACATCGGATTAATATTATGAGAAAAATGCACTATATACTCTAGCCTAATTCGACAAACAATGTTTAACAACAAAACTTTGAATTTTTTTTCAATTGATATTCAATTATTTTTTATGTGAAATGACACAACAAATAATTGAATATCAATTCAATAAAAATTTAAATCCAATGAATAGCGACATCTCTAGCCGGGCCTGGTAGCTGTAAAGGCATCTAACTGGGTGACGAAATACTTTCATAGATTTCTCATTGATGGCGTTACGGCGAAAAAGTCGCTGAAAGACCAAATACAAAGATACGACAACAAGCACATAGGAGAATTCGTGAGATCCGCTGGCTCGTTCCGTGGCTTAGTTGGTGTAGCGTCTGGCACGGTTTGCTAGAAGACATCGGTTTGAATAAGGCCGGATCGAAGGAATGTTTCTGAGTGTTCGATCCGTGTATTAATAATTATAATAAAACTTTGATAGGCAATGAATGATGGCAAGTGAAAAAAACATGTTTTGTGACTGGGTTATGTAGAAGTAATACTTAATTTTTTTTGCTAGGAGGCGTGTGCGGCGGCATCATTTCTTTCAACAAATTACAAATCATAACAAAAAGTCATGCCGTGGTAAGACACCTAGTAAGATAATCACTTGCAGTAAATACTCACCAAGCACTAAAGTTATGCCAATAACAGAATGCAGGTCATCATCATGCCCTGGTGGCTCAGCTGTATAATCTTTGGTCACAGTCGGTAAGGGTCTGTCACTGAACAGCGACCGGACGCCTTCTGGTATTATCACTGCTAATGCTGTACCAACTAGAAGACCAGCTCCGAATACTGTTACCTTTTGGAGTTTATCCTGTGGACAAATAGATAAGGTATCATTATTATAAGAACCAGGGTTCGAAGTTATAATTATCATTGTTAATTAATCATGATAATTATCACGATAATTTATTATTTTATATATATAAAGCTACAAGTTCTTACTCACTGACAGAAATAGGACAATTACTTCCCGATATGGTGGAAAAAATATATTTATACTGTTGTACGCGAATAGGCTCCAAAGCAAATCAAATACGAGAGGATCTGAATATGGAAAATATGAAAGAGTGATTAACGGCCTGTAAAAACTATAAGATATAGAGTGAATATTTGTGCATTTTTATGAAGTACAACCTGGTCAATTTCCGCGGGAAGTAACATACAGTCGAATAGAGAACCTCTTCCTTTTTTTAAGTCGGTTAAAAAGCAACATAAATCAGCCTTTTTTAAGTTTGTAAGAATGTAACGGTGTTTCACAACTACGATATTTTATTATGTTTCGTTAAATTACTTCACTACTTTGTTAATAATTATTATAACAAAGATCGAAATGCTAAGAAAAATTCATTCGGTCTGGCTGTATTCGTACAGCTACACTCAGGCAACCATAATATTACAATTATGACATCTCCAGTCAGCGATGGTAGTTATAAAGGTACCTCTCTGAGTGTAGAAATAAATTTCTCACAGGAGGCGCTACGGTAAAAAAGTCGTTAAAAACCAAAATCAAAGATCCGTAACAACATACAGAAAGATTCATAAGAACTGCTGGTTCGTTCCTTGGCTCAATTGGAAGAGCGTCTGGCACAGAGGGTTCTTTATTTTTATTTTGTTTTATAATATCAAGTGACGAGACTAACAAGTCTGATGGTAAGCTACATGCCTGTCCATAAGTTGCAGTGCCACTCAGAGCTTTAAATCGCAAAGATCTTAGGGGCACTGCCACTGCGCCCGTCACCCTGAGACATAAGTTGACAAGTCCCGTGCATCTGTAATTTCACTAACACCCTTACCCTTCCAAACTGGAACACAGTAATGTTAACATTACTACTTGGCGGCAGAAACAGGTAAGGTGGCAGTATTACCCTGGACAAACTCTTTCACAAGGATCTCTACTGCTGCTTTTGGGTGCTGGGTCAAATCCAGCCAGATCGAATGAATTTTTCTTAGTGTTTCGATCTTTGTTATAATAATTATAAATTAGTCTCATTTTACTTTCATTGGAAGGTGTAACATAGACTGATCTTAAAGCTTTTTTTTTATTTGAAGATTAATTTAAACCCAAAGATCGCCTTGCGTGTAGATAACTGGCAGGAGATCGCACAAGACAGGGTGCGCTGGCACTAACTCATATCGGAGGACAAGATCCAAAACAGAGCAAGCATAAGTAAGTAAACATTTCTGCGTGTAATACTGAAAATGCAAGTTAGCGCGAATTATGTGTCCGAGAGTACATGCACTGTATTAAAATACATCTGCATACAAAGCCGTTAGTTGCAGAACGAACTGATTGCTATTAATCTCTTAAAGCTACAGCGTGACATAACATTTTACACAAAGCTACACCTTAAACACATGTGTTATGTTTTTTACTTAAATCTGCAGTATGATTTTAAATTCTTTTATTGGTTTTTTTATTGGGTATGGTTTGCTTTAGCTATTTTCACACTTTGAGGACATACGGCATGTTAGTTTTAGGGATTTCCCTAATGCTGCCAATGTTATTTGATCTTTTGTCCTGCAGAAGCATGCCATGATGGGTGTTCACAAACTACGCATCAGAGTGTCTCTATGAGATAAGTTTAGAGACAACCTAATCCTACATTTCTTATCCACGAGGTTCAACTTAGTGAAAAAAAAAATTACAGAAAGGTTTTTTATACAGCTCCTTCAAACTTAGGAGAATTTTTCAATGCACTTGCGTAAAAAAAAATTCATGAGGTCCGCTAGTTCGTTCCGCGGCTTATTTGGTATACCGTCTGACACGGTATGCTAGAAGGCGTCGGTTTGAATCCGGCAGGATCGAAGGAATTTTTTCTGAGTGTTCGATCTTTGTATTAATAATTATAACAAACTAGTAGAGTCATTTCACATAAAAATAATAGAATATTAATTAAATAAAAATGTATGTACAAATCATTGACTTACAAATAAATGGACGACGGGTCTAATACAAAAACCACGAAAAAAAGTCCCAAGTCAACCTATTCGAAATTTAAATTGTAATGTCATCGCAGTATCGCGCTGTCAGTAGAACAAATGAAGACTAAAGCGGAGTTTGGCGCTCTGTATACGATTTTAGCGCCTTACAAGTGCGGACACTTTTTAGCGCGGACCCGACATCCATATAATTGTAAGTCAATGGTACAAATATTTATTTACAAAGTGAAACTCCCTAGAATTTCTTTCTCTTTATTATCAGAGGAAAGTGCCTTACAAATGTTTAGTAGAAATAAGTAAATTTGACAATTTCAAGTGTTACCTTATGTTTGAATTTAGGCTTTGAAACACTGGTAATATTTTATTGTATGAATATTGTATTTAATTTTATATGATTTTATGCAACTCAGTAAATATATGAAATGCTCGCATTACTCGCTCGAATATTGGCTGCAAGATCTCATTTCACATGCAAGCAATTATAAATTAAAAACTAGCGTTTTTCTTAAAAAATTAAGACATATGTTAACCAATATACAGGCAATGTAGGTTATACGAAAAATCAACTTAAATACAGAATGAACACATAAATTATTTAGAAAATACATACCTCTGACATATTTACATTTAACGGTATACTTCCAGCTACATACGAGCCTATTAACATAACCAAAACTAATAAAATAAGTACAAGAGTGCCATCCATTTTTTCGAAAAAAAAAGAACACGATTTTATACAGATTATAGAATAAAAACTCCCGTTTTCGCGGAGAAAACTTTAGAAACTTAATCAAGGAACATATTTTAACGATATGTCGATTGCTTTCTTTGGCAATTAATTGTGAAATCAGTCAAAATGTGGAAATCAACTGTTACAAGATTTATACGAAATGTTGACAACGAAACCACTAGTGAAGCACTTCACCACTACTTTGTAACTATTACACAAGAGCTGTTCATGGGTCGTATATAGTGGCAGTTACTTATGTGACCCGATTTTTATCAATATATGTAACTACGAGAGATAAATACATGACATAGAGATTACAAAACGATGTCGTGTAGTTAATTTGTATTTACGAATACAAACGGCTTTAGTAAATGAAACAAGTTTTTTCGGATTTGTCGCATGTATTTGTTTTCTCAAACAAACCAACGTTTCGGGTCCTTTACTGATCCCATGGTCACGGCTAGGGAAGACATATATTATAATTGACAACTATATTTTAGAAGTTTGGTAACTGCAGCACAACTACCAATTTAGACGTGATATTTTTTTAGAAGTTATTAAATAATCAAATTAAATGCAGTTCAGTTCTACACTTTATTTTTCCATTAAGCCTCTTTGTAAAGCTTTTCGCAGGACTGTGTTAGGCGCGAATCCTCCATTTTTTTTGCTAGGCTTTTCCAGTTGTACAATGATCACTACTTCTCTACAGTAAGAACCAAGCGTGAAACGTCGAACCTTCCTAAAGCTCTGTTACGTAACTTCTTTTTTATGCTTTCGCTTAGTCTTAAGATATTAACTCTCTTTGTTTTTGTAAGTGATTTATATGATTAAATTAATGATTACACTTTTCTTTTTGTTAGTTTCTTTTCACTTTGCAATAATTTATCATGTATGTAGTGTTGGTCTATAATAGATTGCGCGCAAGTTTTAAGTTTTTTTTGCATGCATGTTTTATGATCTTAAAATGGCGTAACAATTGTTGACTGACCAAATAAATAATTTAAAAAAAATTGGTTAAAATATTTACAAAAACATCAAAATATTATGGAATAAAATATAATATACGGTATAAAGTAGAACAATGAATTTGAAACAACATGATGAATCCATAAAAATACAATTTCAGGTATCTATTACCGACATCGTGATACATGCGTAACAATAATAAGCATCCCAACCCTACAATTGTCAAAACTGACTTTTCGCAACTTGACAACACGGCGGCGCAGATGCTATTTATTGTTTTAGAATTTGCGAATCATTAGGTTAATTGAACGTGTATGCTAAATTTATGGTATCATATTGTCACGTCATTAAAAATCGATAAATAAATTACTCAACAGTATATTAGCGCCCTTGTGGTCTAATCACTTATTTTTAATGTATTTATTGAGATGTTAATTATTTAAAAAAACTTAAAATTTAATTTAACTTAAGTGTATGTCTGTACAGTAAAAAAGTGCGACCAAAAAAAAGAATTTACATCAAAACAATAATACGCGTTCTTCGTTTTTTCAAACCTTGTTGCGCCATCTATCTTCAAGTAGCAAAACACAAAAGGATGTTGTTACTGTGGACCAAATCAAGAAGATTAAGATCAACTCCATACTGACGATAAAAGAAAGATAGAGCACAAAATTATCTTTTAAAAACATTTGAAATTAATTAAAGATGATGATGTTGAAACATCATTAAACACCTATCAATATTCTAAAACTGGGTTACGGATATTAATTATTAATTCCCCTTAAGAAGTAGAAGAAGTTAGTTTTTTCCAGCATTATTCAAATTGTTTAGAATGATGAAGAAGACGAGATATTAATTATCTTAGAATAATAACGCATAGAAACCTAGTCCGCACACGCTAAGTGAGGCAAATTGAAGCGCGCCAAAAGGGCCTACAAGGTCAACTTGCACCGCGAACAGCTCCAGAATTTTAGCTAAAAATGACGACATGTGCGGTAAATGAGTGTAAAAATACGTCATACAAACATAAAATAGATACTAACATCACATTCCACAAGGAAGTAACGCGTTTCAACTTGTATTTTTATGTAAATATTCACTAAAACCGAAAATTAACCTACTACTAAAACTAGCCTACATGAATTTGATTTTTGCCTCACTTGTGACAGTTCGTTTGATATGAAACTATCATTCTATGCGTTATTATTCTAAGTTAATTATAATAATCTTAGAGGATTGGAAAAAAAATAAAAATAATTCATAATGACAGAAATGCTTATCGACGTACATCAAACGTACAGCTATTGACATATAGTTGGTCCAGATGAACAGGGTATTGTATCAAAAAACACACATTTTTCAGGAGAGCAATTTAAAAGTTTCTTTTTCTTCATTGTTATTTGCTTCTCCTCACCTATATGTAAAGCCTACACACATTTAACAGTATTTTCGAATACTTCTTATTCTTACTAATTTCCGCAGTTTTGACGAAATCCTGAAACTGTTCACAGAGGTCATTGACTTACAATTATATGGACGTCGGGTCCGCGCTAAAAAGTGTCCGAACTTATAGGGCGTTACAATCGTATACAGAGCGTCATTCACGCTTTAGTCTTCGTTTGTTCGACTGACAGCGAAGCAAGCAAAATTAGACAGTACTGCGATGACATTACAATTTAAATTCAACGCTTTAGCTTTTTCATATTCCTTTACATGTCACTACGTTTAAATAGGTTGACTTGGGACATTTTTTTCTTGGTTCTAGTATTAGACCCGTCGTCCATTTATTTGTAAGTCAATGCCTTTGAAGATAAAATATTTGTGATTCAGAGTTTTAACTAAACTATTCATGCTTAATACTTTTAAATGAAAGAAGGAATAATAAATCCAATCCGATAAAACTAAGGAACATACAAAGCATGAAAAAAATATCCCAAAAAAGATTTTTTTTAATCTAGCCTCTGATGGTAGTGATGGTAAGCTACATGCCTGTCCATAACAGTTACAGTGTCACTCAGATCTTTAAATTGCAAAGATCTGAGGGGCAATACCACTGCGCCTGTCACCCTGAGACATAAGTTGACAAGTCCCACGTGTCTGTAATTTCACTAGCACCTAATATTACCTTAGAATAATCGTCTTCGTTTTAGAAGTAAATATGTTTAAAATACACTTATCTTGTAATTAACACGTGCTATGTTTTAGTTGTAATACCCTGTTCAACGAACGACGACGTCTTGACAACTACAGCTTCGTGTGTAATACTGTACGACCGTCTGTGACTGTTGCTGAATGTTTGGGGCCAAAATGTGGAAAAAGTTCAAAGATGCTACCTTGCCTTCCGCTCCATTTCACGTCCGATCATTATAAGACCTGCAGCTTGATTTTGCTTGCCTCTCCCGATCGGAAACTGCGTCTTTTC